AAAGCTCCTTGGTGAGTGATTCATGCATTTATAGTCATCACCTTGTGAATTCAAGTTTAATAGATGGTCAAGAGCATGAATTAGTTTGAATGTAAGGGAATTGAGTTGCTTGTGTTCAATTGAAGGTCAATGAAGGCATGCATGTATATAATTGTTGTGGAAATGCATAATCTAGCATGTATTGAGTTGAACATGGAAATAAAGGTGTTAAATCTTACATGCAAGTATGCTTTTGTTGTATTCCATGAGAATGAACACCATTTGCATTGTTTGGGATGGAAATGAAATCAAGATTAGCATGCATGTTTGAATAATTAAGATATGAGCTTTGAAAGTATGATTTTGTTTGTATTAGAATGAGTGGATGGGGGATTGGGGCATACATGTGAATTAATTGTGAATTGGGCTCCATTGTAATGTGTTTTGGTGTTTATGGCATGTTAGCATAACTATATTTGAGATTTGAGCCATAACATGCATGTTTTGTCGGTTGAAATTTGAATTGGAGCTCAAGAACTCAATCTGGAAAACCCAGATTTTTTATGTCCGCTTGAGCGGGGGAAGAGCCGCTTAAGCGGGAAAATCGTGCTCCCAGCACTTTTTGCAGAGTTGGATGTCCGCTCGAGTGATATATATCACACTCAAGCGGGGAGTTATTGTAGACAGGCCTTTCGCTTGAGCGCTCTATCCCACGCACGAGCGTATTTTTCATGCAACCGGCCCTAAGGGTCCGCTCGAGCGGGGAAGTTGACGCTCGAGCGGGGACCCTGTTCCCTGAAATTTTGTATGCTCGTTCTGTGTTTCGTTTTCCATTCTCTTTCACTTGTAAGCACTCTTAGGCATATGTTAAGCATTGTAAATGAGTTAATGAGATAAGAATAATGCCTAAAGAGGAATATGCAAATCAAAGAACGGATTGAACTGTTAGTGACCCCCTTTGTGTTCATGAAATGTGTAGGGTCAAGCTTTAGGGGAAATCCACAAGCCGATCACTGTGAGTAATATCTTAACAAAAGATGTTTGAATATGTTGTTGTCCTATTGCTTACCTCTATGTAAGTCTGTAAGTTCATTAATTTGAATGGTGGACAATGTCTGATATGAAAATTTGCAATGGGCCAGAGGCCGTTTTGACAAGAAATAATGAATGGGCCAGAGGCCGTTTTGACAAGCATGAATGAATGGGCCAGAGGCCGTTTCGATATGAATGATTGGGCCAAAGGCTAGTTTGACATGAAAGTGTGAATGGGCCAAAGGCCGTTTTGACATAAACGAATTGACCGAAGGTCGTTTTGACACGAACGAACGGACCGAAGGTCGTTTTGAGATAAATGAATGGACCGAAGGTCGTTTTGACATAAACGAATAGACCGAAGGTCGTTTTGACACGAACGAACGGACCGAAGGTCGTTTTGAGATAAATGAATGGACCGAAGGTCATTTTGAGATAAATGAATGGACCGAAGGTTGTCTTGACTTAAACGAATGGACCGAAGGTCGTTTTGACACGAACGAATGGACCGAAGGTCGTTTTGAGATAAATGAATGGACCGAAGGTCGTTTTGAGATAAATGAAAGGACCGAAGGTCGTTTTGACATGAATGAATGGGCCAGAGGCCGTTTTGACACGAATGGATGGGCCAGAGGCCGTTCTGACATAAATGAAAGTATAAATGGGCTGAAGGCTAGCCTGATACGAACCACGATCACTTGACTTAAATTGTGTATATATATATGTTAAATAGAAGTATGAATCGGGCCCAAGGCCGTTTGGAGTATGTTGTTCTACATATCGTTTGTATGACTTCTTTGTTTGATATTATTCATTGGGCTATCGCTCACGCTCATTCATGTGTTTGTAGGTGAGCCAAGAGAGGTCTAAACCCAGCCTCAGTGAATTTTGTGTGGAACAACCAAGGTTTTGAAGAGTCAGTCTTTGTGTCTCACGCACGAGACCCGTCTTCGCCCTTTTGTTATGTATTTACATTTTGTCAGGTTGACGAAGTTTTGAATACGTCTGTATATAGTTTTCATGGGTTGACTTAGTTTGGATGATCCTGTCTGTATAGAATCTTATGTCATTACACTTTCTGTTGTGAGTTATTAACATATGTACATATGGAATGTTATGGTGTGCATATAAGCACGGTTCTATGGACAAAGTTTTAAATTTGCTTCCGTTTGGCCCCTTTTACTCTGATGAGTCTTGTCTTATTTGGTTTGAGGCCGTAGGTAATTTCGTGATTACTGGCCGGTTATGGCCTTAACCCATAGGGGCGGGTTCGGGTCGTGACATTATGCTTAGTAGAGGCCGATCCTTTGATCGGGTGAGCGGGGGTACTTATTTTATGACCTTCCCCCCTCGTATCCAAATTCCCGAGCCCATGTAATTTTGGTGATGACGGACAGGTGGCCTTTGGCACGAGTCAGGGTTTCCTAAATTTCTCCAAAATAAAATATTTAGGTGGCGACTTTGTAATCTGGCAAAGTAGTCCAGTTTGGCATTATTTGATTCAAAATCTGATTTTCCAAAATGATTTGTCGGATTAGACTCTTTGGTGTTTATTAGTCTTACATTGCACTTTGTGAGATTAGATTTAGAACCGTGACAGGAGTCCGAACTGTAGGACCAATTTGAGCTCTTCGAAAGGGGGGTGCAAAGAAAGTCGAGTCTACAATAAGCACGTCGTCATATAACCACAAAAATATGGAACCTCTCCTAATCAAGTAAAATAAACCCAATGCGGAAAAACAACCACTTCCCACGAGCTGCAAGTATTCGGTAGCTCTGATACCATGTTGTAACGCTCCAAATAATAATAATAATAATAATAAATTTCCAATAAACACATCAGACCCAAATCTCCAACATTTGCATATATATAATCAAGAGAGATTTACAAAGGTTTCCACATGCAAATATACATTCAACGACCTTAGTACATGAATCTCTAGCACGTGAAATAACCAGTCAAAAGTAAACAAATGCCCTCAAGGGCTATAAAGTCCAAGGCTTAAGCTCGGTTATACAAAATGGTTGCTCAAACCCATACAAGTAAAGCCCTTGGCTTGCAAAAATACAACCACAACAAAACAAGAGCCTTGTGCTCTCAATATACATATCCATGCACTTAGCTTGGTGGAATCACCACATCTTTTCCTGCACCAAAATCCCATAGGGTGAGCATAATGCTCAGTAGAAAATTTTTAATAAAGTATATACATTTTCTACAAGTCTCATGAAATGGAATGTATATACTATGCTATGCCTTTAAAAGAAAGTCTCATCTTCATCCTTTGAAAACCTTCATGCACAATGAAATCTTAAAATTTCAACAAAATTCAACAATTTTAAATCAAGTTCAAAGGGGCGGTAAATATGACTCAGGTAATCCCTAGGTTGGTGTCTGCAAGTAAGCATAACTAGCACTACCAAAACCCCCACTTTACCGATAGCTAACCGGAAGGCACGTGGTACCTCCTCCGCACATGTGTTTCGGTCTTTTACCCTGGACACTAAGGCCAACTTAATCAATTTCATCTATACCCCCTATTCGGACTTACCAACGTATTTATCCCAAAACATTTCAATGAGATCTTATTTTACAACATTCCTTTCTCAATGCAAAAGTTTTTCAAATCTCACTTCAAAAATTTTAATAACCAAATAAATTGAAATACCAATGTAACATATATCAAGGTAATTATATTAGTCTTCCACTTGCAATATTTCCACACAATTCCTCCATTTCGATCACAATTTCCATTTCCGTTTCCAATGTAATCTCACAACATAAAACATATATTAATTTATATCTATCCAAGAGTAGCAACACATCCTCAACAAGTTAATCATTTCATGACTATATTCAAATTTTTGAATAATAACTTCAAAACTAACTATTCCTCATATTCCATAAAATTCTTTTCATTCAACATTGTCATAATATTTGTCAAAAATCAATTCCATAACATCACCACATTTTCTTAAATATTCCCAAATTTCTAGGGTTCCCATAAACTAGGTTTCCTACTCATTTTAAATGAAATTATTTGAAGATAACAATTCTCTACAACAATATAACTCAAAATCTCAAGGATTTTTAGAAAACATTTTGGAAACCCATTTTTAAAGTCATTCACAACTCATGAGTCCAAACCCAAGTTCAATCACCACAAGAAAGAGTCCCAACAATAACATACTTTGTAAAAATGTATATATAACTCAAAGAAAAATTCCTACATCAAGTTCTTGAAGAAAAAAGAGAAGAAAGCCCTAAAATTAACGTTGTCGAAACCTGATATCAACTGCACACAACGTAGCCCTCGAAGAGTTCTCTAACTTTGATGAAGGAGTTATGGGAAAAACTCTAATGGACACTACAACAAAACTGACTTTTTACGGCACCACATCAACGGCATACAATAAATGCACGCTGTAGTTTCTCACTTTTACGGCTTGTTTTTTTTGCACGTCGCAAATACGTTTCCAACCACGGCGTGTCTATTGTGTAGGCCATGAAAGATAATAACGATGATTTTTTTACAATTTACAATGTGCACTGTAAATAATAAAACTTTCTACGACGTGCATATGACGTGCCGTTAATACATCAATTATACACGACACACATACGCCAGCCGTGAAAGGTTTAGAATACTTTTCACGGCATACACAACGCCTACCGTTAAAAGTATTGCACTTTTTACGACGCACACATCGCCTATCGTTAAAAGTATTGCCTTTTTACGACGTACAATGCATGTCGTGAATTGTATGATAAAAAATATTAAAAAAAAAAGCGCCAAAATGAAATTTGGGGCGCCAATCACCAAAAATATATATATTAGAAAAAATTTCCCCCCAATTTTTCCCCCAAAAATAACTATTTTGCCTTATTCTAATCAAAATGAAACATGGGTTTCAATCTCTCTCTCTGATTTCAATCTCTCTGTCTCTCTCTGATGATGATGATGAGAATCCAGATCCTACGGACTGTTTCAGAACCTTTGTCTACAAAGGACTACCGTCGGACCTGTCAGAACGGCGATCTCGAACGGGCTGATTGCGCAATTTGAGATATCTCTTCTTTGTGGTTCTGCAAAGTTGATTCTCTATCACTTCTCTCTGAATCCATGCGAAAATTAACGGAAGCATGAAGTCCTCCTCCAGATGTTCTCTTTTGTGCTGAATTTGCAGGTACTATATCAATTTTATTGCTCCTAAATTTACATCTTGATGAGTTGCTGAACAGTCACCTTCGACAAGAGCCATATTGGTTTGCAACTCACTCACAACAGCCTTTCCATGTGCAGCTTTGTTGCTAAAAACACTAGGATGTATGTATATTCCTGTGGATGCATCCATATCAGATCTGAAGGGAGAAATTCCCACTCCAACTTGATCGTGTTCTTCATCGTGCCTTATAACCCGGTCCTGACTTTGCATGCGCTCTTGCAGAGGTATTAAATTATCCCGAGCATCTTCAAGAATATTACTTTCCTTAAAACAAAAAGCAGATTTCTGATTGTTTTCTTCAAACCGAGTCCTCTTATTTTTTTCTTGCTCCGAATTACCTTCCCATCACCAGTCCTGTTTTCATTGCATTGAATTTTGAAATCACTATGTAAACCCTCTCAACCAAAGACATCTTTTACTGATTTAGAATTAGCAATTTCAGATGCTGAGTCAAAGCAATTGTGCGTTGGGTAAGACCTTTTAGAGTCTACGCAATTGTTCTCTTGATCTCTCTCATAAATCCGAATTTTTTCAGACACACTCTTCGACCATCTCATTTGTGAAGGAGGTTCTTGGTTTTTGGCTTGAAGTGTTTTCCTCCTTTTGCTCTTAGCCTTGGCATCCTTTTCAACATTTTCTTGAACAGAGACCTGACACAGTTCATCTTTGCCCTAATTTTTCTCTCCATTTCTGTTCAAATGTAAGTATGATATAGCCATCTTCAATGCGGGTTTCTTGGGTTACTGGTACTAGTCTTAACTGTGCATTTTATGTGTTTGTTTAATTGACTGAATGGTGTGTTTGTTGGAATTACAAAATAAATTTTTCATGTAGTGGTTTAAATGTATTATAATAGATATTTAGCGAGAAATGGCTGCTTAACTGTGTACTTTAGTTTGATGCTACCATCTTATCTATATCCATAGAACTGAATCATCTTAGTTACCCTGGTGTCCTTTGATTTAAATTTTTTTTCCCATCTAATTTAACTTGCAAAATTTTTGGAAAGATTGCAAATAAGGGGTATTGACATTTTTGCTAGTTTATATTATACGAAAGTGAGGTTTTAACAATAAAGGTTGAGCTCTAAAGTGTTAACAGAATTTCTTATTTTTTTGGGCTAATTGAATTGGGGAATATATGTTTGTAGACTTGGATAGCCTTCTACCACAGATAGAGAGAAAGAAATGACTATTTTTTCATGAAAAAAGAGGAAACATGTGGATATTATTATTAAAACAGTTATGGAAGATGTTAGAGCCAGAATGAGTTCATGGAGAATGTAAAGAATGGCATTTGAAAACTGGCAAACTTGTATCCTTTTGACTGGAATATATCTATGACCCATATATACTGAAACATTAATGAGAGGGGAGATTTGCGCGTTAGAAGGGCCGAGCTACGATAACGCCGATCATGACGAACCGCGCGGCGCCTAGCAGACTCCTCTCTTGCACGGCCCAGCGGCCTGACTTGCACGGCCGGAGAGGTCGACCGACCAGACACGAACTAATGCCTAGCCGAGCTATGACGCGGCCGAGCGCGCAGCGGTGTCTGATGACCAAGCTAAGAGGAGCTCGGACTAGACTTGAGATGCGATTAGCGCCGGCATGTGCCTAACCGGTTGGCCGAGATGGACGGGCTTCATGTGATCAAGAATGAAGAACGGTGGAAGTCCAGCGTGCTTCATGGCCGGTCAGTCGGGTGGGACCGATCATAAATAGCCCGGTCATAAGCATAACACTTTGGCTCCTTTGCTAAGTGGCAGGTCGGCGTTTATTAGCTCGGTTGTGTGCTTGTGGAGAATTGCCTCCACAAGGAATCGGCCGGTCGTGGTACTTTGGTTAAGTGTGCCACCTGGGCCAATAGTGTGAGGGAGAGGATCTGCTCCACGCACGCACCAATACCGTTTGGCAGTTCTGCATGTGCTGATTGGAGGACAAAATCTTTACACGCGTAAGGTGGTGAGAGGCATGCACTGCCGCCTGTCCAAGGAAGGACGACAGAGGTGGTGTGCGCACGATCTTGGGGTTGCATGGCCAGCCTAGAAATAGTAGAGGAAGGTGAACGTTAGAGGTATGCAACTTCTTCCCTAAAGAGAATACTTTCTCTCTCTAACAGTCTTCTTTTTCCCCATGTGGACTGATTTGATCGTCGGAGGGTCTATCCAATACACCACCGCCAGGCAGCTCACCGTTTCTATGATTGCCAGGTAGACGCCGTCAAGAGAAGCTTGGAGTACAAGGAGTACGGAAAGCAGAGGATATTTCGCCCCCGTACAATTGGCGACGTCTGTGGGAAGTCTTTGATACTCAACCCTTGTTCTTTGAGCTTCTTCGACCATTTCCATGGCCAATAACGGCGAAGCCCCACTGTTTGTCGTCGATGGCGTCACACTTGAGTACGTCCACTTGAGAGAAGGCCTCCCGAATATTCCAGCCATGGCGGGCCTAGAGACTCCTTCGCGAGGTGCGCGAGACAAACGCGGGAGGAGTACTGATCGCTCGCAGAGTCCTGAAGGCCGCCGACGCCGGGGGGAGTCCCATACGTAGCGCCTGGAGCACAAACTCAAGGACCAAGACGCCCTCATTCGCAAGATGGCGGCGGAGATAGAGCTACTGAAACGCCAGATTAAAGGGAAGGGTGTTGCTGGAGAGGGCAACCTTAGTGAGCGCACCCTGTCCCCTCGTTGGAGCAGTCGCCGCTAGGAGAGGACTCGCTCTCTCTCTATCACTAGGGACTATGGGGTTGGAGATTTCGACCAAAGAGAGGGCAGGTCCCTCTCTCGCAACAGCACTTACCGCCCCTCATGCCCGACGCTGACGTCGGGATCCTCTTTCTCCACGCGTTCCAGGGACTTGAGGGATGTATTGGAAGAGAGGGCGCGCCGTCGGGAGGCTCGAAGAGTGTCAGCATTGCAGAGGTTGAGCGCTCCAGTTCGTTGTAGTGAGAAAGTGGCGATGCCAGCCCCCAAAGTGATAGCCCCTGCGTTGGTGGACAAAGAGCTGGCGCGACTTACAGCCACGCCGCTGTCTCCAGAGATTGAGAGTATGCCACTCCCCGCCGGATTCCACCAGCCAAAGTTCACTTTGTACGACGGCAAGACGGATCCGTACATACATGTGAGCCATTACCGGCAAGTAATGGCTGGCCACTGGTGCAACGACGCCTTGATGTGCCTCATATTCCCAGCAAGCTTGGGAGAGCTGGGTTTGAAGTGGTTCGAAAGGCTCCCGGAGGGGAGTATTGAGGGGTGGCAGCAACTAGCGGAAGCCTTCGTCACCAGATTCAAAACCAACACATGAACGCCGAAGGAGGTTGACTATCTCCTAGGCGTCAAGATGGAGTCTGGATGTTCGTTGAAGGCATACAATGCGAAATACTGGGAAACTTACAATGAGATCCTCGACTGCCCCACCAATCTGGCGATCACTCAATACAAACGGGGTCTCCCAGTCGGACATAGGCTACGAGATTCACTCACGATGCATCAACCCACAACCATGGAGTCCTTGATGCAGCGGATGAATTAGCACATTCGTGCGGAGGATGATGCTGCCTCCGCGACCGAGAAGTCTAATTCGGTCGCGGCGGACAGAAGGGTGGTGGGGAAAGTTCACTCGGTTGGGCAGGAGGATAACTGCCCAAACAACTGGTCAAAAGATCAGCGCCATGGTTCAAACCGTGATGACAGAAACAAGGGTCGCCGAAATGACCGGGTTGACACTCCCCGTGATGTAGCGGAGGATGCCAAAAGAAAATTAAAGGCACGGACTGGAATCACAACGGTCTTTAAAATCCCCATCTACCGCATTTTGAGCGAGATTTGAGGTGAACCCTTCATCCGTTGGCCGGCCAAGTTGGGGAGTGCGCAGAGGGGTTTCAATTCAAAATATCGCTGCACCTTTCATGAAGAACGGGGGCACCGAATAGAGGACTGCTTGCCGCTCAAACAACACTTAGAGGAGTTGGTGGCGGCGGGGCATCTTGACCAATACATAGATGGGGGCATCAAGGCCACGCCAGCGGACCAAGCCGAGCCAAATGGCCTAGCCGCCCTAGAAGCGCCCCCGCAAGGTGTAATCAACGTCATCCACGGCATCATTGAACCGGCCAGGGTCTGCGAGTTGAGAGGGATGATTAAGAAGGCCGAGCACATGAGGGAAGTGCTCTCTGTTCAGCCCGCTGTGAAGAAGGAAAAGACCGAAGAGAGGGACATCCTTTCATTCTCGACCAAGGACTTGGAAAGAGTTGAGATGCCGCACAATGATGCTTTAGTAGTCACTCTTCGCGTCAAGGACTTTGACATCAAGAGAATCTTGATTGACCAGGAGAGTTCGGTAGAAATTATGTATTATGACGCGTTTAAATAAATGAAGTTGGAAGACAAGGACTTGGCCCCCGCAACGTCCCCTTTGGTCGGCTTTAACTCACAGCTAGAATGGCCAATCGAAAAGATTATTTTGCCGGTCAAAGCGGGATCGGTCGTAAAGCAAGTAGAATTCTGGGTGCTCAAAGTTCCATCGACTTACAACTTGATCTTAGGCAGGGGCTGGCTGCACGCCATGCAAGCAGTTGCTTCGACCTTCCACCAAGTCATGCGCTTTCTGGCACCAAGCGGACAAATAGAGGAAGTTTGGGGGGACCAGGTGATGGCGAAACAACGCTTCGTTGCGGTAAATGGCAGCTGAGCGGCCAAAGGGTTTGTCCAAATGATTGAGGGGCCCGAGGGTAAAGAGGTCCTTGAAGACGTAGGAAGAAAGGCCGAGGAAAAATCGGTCGAAGATTTGGTAGAAGTGCGCATTGATGAGAACGATCCAACTAAATTCTTCCTCTTGGGATCATCCTTGTCTAGCGCCGAGTGGATGGATTATGTCAACTTCTTGGTTTCCAATTTGGAGGCCTTTGCCCGGACGCCTTACGACATGCCTAGCATCGACCCGAGCTTCATTTGTCACCAGTTGAATGTCTTCCCCAATGCACGACCAGTCATTCAAAGGACGCGCCGCTCAGCCTTGCACCATGCTGAAGTGGTGGCAGAAGAAGTGAAGAATTTATTGGAAGCTGGGGCCATAGAGGAGGTGCAATACCCTTGGTGGATATCCAACAGGGTGGTTGTTCCGAAGAAGAACGGCAAGTGGTGAGTCTGCGTTGACTACAAGACTGTCAACCGAGCTTGCCCCAAGACAACTTTCCCCTCCTACGAATTGACCAGCTGGTGGACTTAATCGCTGGCCATCAGAGGTTTAGCTTCCTGGACACATATCGCGGCTACCACCAGATAGCCATGTATAAACCGGACAGAGAGATCACGTCGTTCACCACCCCCAGATGCTTATATTGCTACAAAGTCATGCTGTTCGGACTAAAGAACGCTGGGGTGACTTTTCAACGGATGGTGACAAAGATGTTCGCCCCAATGTTGGGCTGCACCATGGAGGCCTACATCGACGATATGGTGGTGAAAAGTAAGGAGAAAGCTCAGCACCTCTTCGACCTAGTAGAGATGTTTGCTATACTTAAACGCCACAAGCTTCGTTTGAATGCTTCCAAATGCGCCTTCGGAGTCGGCACCGGGAAGTTTTTGGGTTTTCCGGTCACAAATCGAGGGATTGAAGCTGACCTATCACAGATCAAGGCTATACAAGACCTGGAGCGTCCTAACTCCACGAAGGACGTGCAACATCTTGCCGGGATGGT